ACTGCTACTTGAAATAATTCATTTTCATTTCCTTCCGTCTTATCGTATTTGTCAAATTACAAAGCTTTCAAGTAAACGCCTAAAGTCCCCAACGGCAGGTTAGAGTCAGACGTGAAACCGTACATGCTAGGAAACTTACTTTCACCAATCTGTAGCGCACCACAACCACGTTTCATCTTTGAAGAGTCTTCCGTGTGCGTTAAACAACGCGGCCCTCTCCGCGAGTAATGCTCCCGATGAAATTTTCCTCGTGGCCGAACGACGGGCGTGAGGAAATGTCGGTGGCGGTGCTTTGGAAGCGGCGAGAGGCGGCTCCAGCAGAGGTGGTAGAGGAGGGGAGGAGGCGAGGGTAAGCGAGCCGCAGACGGAAAAGGGAAGAGTTGAGGGCGGGGCGGAGTAGGATGGGGTTGGGCAGGGCATCGCGAGGCGGGGCAAAGCGGTGCCAGGTGGTGGCCTGGCATGGGCGGGGCGAGAGGAGACGAGGAGGAATGGAGTGGAGCTGGGGGGAGTGAGGCGGGGGCGGGCGGAGGGCGGTGGAGCGGAGTCAAGAGGGGCGGAGGGCGGGTAGGCGGGAAGGGCGGGATAGGGTGGGTGGGGATGGCGCGGCGGGGCGGGACATGGTATGGCAGGGCGGCGCAGAGGAAGGAGTTGTTTGGAGGCGGGAGAGCGATGAAAGGGGCTGAACGAGGTTGAGTGGAGTTGGGCAGCGGTGGAACAGAGATGGACAGTGGTGGGCGGTAGTACCCGGAGTTGGGCGGTAGTTGGGCAGGGTTGAGTTGCGGGTAAGCCGTTGTTTGGACTGGGATAAGGCGGGGTTGAGCGGGAAAAGGCGGAATTGGGCGGAGCGTGACGGAATAGCGCGAGGTTGGGCGAGTCGGCTTAGCATTTGCACCGCAGTACACGACGAGGAAGTACAGACGCGATAAAGGCGACGTCGTAGCGTAGCAGATGTAACACAATTTCCCAAGCAGAATTTTCGAAAATCCAGAGTTCAACGAACATGCGACATGCGCTATTTTTTTAAGCATCTTCTGTTTTAACTTTGAAAAAAATGAAGGAACTATTTGGGTCGGCTTTTTTTAGAAATTGTATTTTTTATAACTTATATTAATTTCGAACAGAAAATAACGAGAAAACATTTTTTTTTAAATTGTACATGACCTTTTTAAATGGACTGTTTTTTAGAACAGATTTTGTTTCAGCCAAAAATCTCCGTCTTCAACTGTGTATTTTTGAAACGTTAACTTTTTGAAATTTTCGAAAATACAGAGTGTTGTGACTAGCACCACTTTCTTATCGTCCTTTGATACATACGAGCAGAAAAGATAAATAACAAATTTGGAGCCATTTTTGAAACCCAAAATCTGCTCATTTGTTGGGGTAAATTGGCCTTACGATATTATTTTAACATCTCTTTTTGAAGGTCTGGTTTCGTTAAGGAAAACAATCTCTACCTTCAATTTTGTATTGTAGGAAGACGCCGAAAAAGAATTGATTTTCTGCAATTTATGAAAAATCAGATATTTTAACGGAAAAGAGGCCTCACCACTCTCATAAGCGTCCTTTATGCCACCCGAGGAGAAGGTTGCACCCAAAAATTTGGAGACATTTGTGAGAAAACTTTGAATATGACGAGACTTCATGTAAAATACACCTAAAAAAGAAAATATGAGTTTCAAACTCAGAAGGCCTCGAGTTGGTTTAAATCGATCGGGGGATATCAATTTTGCAGAAAATCGGCTGAACGGTTTGAGCGCTAGCGTAGGAAACCGGCACCTTCTTGCCTTCAATCCAAGCACCATGCATTCTGACTACAAAACGTGTTTCAGGAAGTAATTCACTATACGCAGGAACAATATTTACAACCTTTTTTGTACCATGATCCGGCAATAAGAATTGTTCGGTCAATAACTCGCCGTTTTCCGACGCATACACGCTTTTTCATACGAATTAACTGCTAGAAAGTACAAGCTTGACAATAAAGAAATGCATGCCTTTACAACGTAGACAAACATCCGAAGCTGCAAAACATACAGAGAAACTTCTATGAAAGACCGACCCTCTCAACGACCGATTTTTCTTGAAACGGAAACTGAAATCTATATATTGTCAGCAAAGTATAGCCCTGTTAACACACCATCCCTCTCCTCGACCACCGACCAGCACCCTTAAAGCCATTTTCAGGAAAATTGTAAGTCTGCAGTTCACCAAATTTTCAATAGCTAATATTAAGCGACGTAAAGAGCATTCGCGCTCTTACATTCCCTTTCTCTCAGCTTCATTCTCGAAGAAATCGGAGGGCGAGGAGACTCCAGAAATCGTAACACATAAGTGTTCGTAATCTGAAAACAGTGCTTACCCAAGACCAATCGCTGGACATTTTTTATTTACTATTGTGCGAAGAAATGCGAGAAAGGGAGGTTTTGAAACTCTAAGACACAAAAGGTATAATGCATACTGACAAAACTGAGTCTTCACAGGAAAATGGAGATTCTTCACTGCAATTTAACTATTCGTAGAGGTAAAACTGGAAATGCTTTAAACATTCTTAACCAAGAGAAGATACTTTTAAATGCATTGTAAAATATGGTAAATAATCCCCAAAAGACATTTACGTCCAAAATAAGTGGTCAAAATGTTTCATTTTTGTTAATTCGTACTCATACACCACAAACTTTTCGTAAGTATACATTTTTTGTAAAAAAGACCATTTTTTGTGAAAAAATATATTTCACTTTAAAGACATATTCACGGAACCAACAGTGGTTGCTTAGTCCACGGTTTAGTGGACGTCACAAACAGAAATTTAAAAAGTTGACCATTAAATTTACAAACAACTTCGCAAGCGAAAGAAAATTGTGTAATAACACCTACCAAGGGACTTAAATTACTTTAAAATACGTCACGCAATCAGTAAAACATCGCACTAAATACGCATTATACTGGAATGACTGCTACATTAAAGTACTTTCCAGGCAGGGGGAGGGCGGACGAGACGAAGCAGGGCGGGAACGAAAGCAAGCATGGATATGGGACGGAGCAACGAGAAAGGGTGGGGATGGGTGGGATGCGGGCGGTTGAAGGAGAAAACGGACGTGACGGGGCGGGGACGAGACCGGACGGGGCGGACCGGAACCGGACGACAGGCGCGGGCGGGCGGGGCGGGGCGGGCGGGGCGGGACGGGGCGGGACGGGGCCGGTACGAGGACGCGGATGGTCGAGACGGGTCGAGACGCGGGTCGAGCCGGGCGGGACGGGGGCGGGACGGGACCGGGCGGGACGGGGCGGGGACGGGCGGGCGGGACGGGGCGGGTACGGACGGGGCGGGGCGGGGCGGAAGAGACGAAACCGAGACGGGGCCGTGGGGCGGGTGTCGTTTCAAGTAAACGACAGTAGCGAGGATGGTGGAAGGACAGTTGCGAGCGGTGTCCGGAAACCGCCGCCGCGGTGGCGAGGCTCGCGCGGTGGCCTGGCAAGGAGGAGGGGGGGAGGGGAGCACGTGACGACTACGCGCGGCCGCGTATCTGAGCCATCTGCGCGGCCCGGGCTCCCGCCCGCACCTGTCGCGCGCCACGGCCTCGTTAGCGAAAGGAGCTCGTGCTCTTCCTCTTCCGCTTCCTCTTCGGGCTTCCACGGCCGCTGCCGATCAAAAATCGATAACTCCACGCGCGCGGCTACAGCACCTACTACAGCAAATGTACACTCGCATGAGCAGTGTTCTGGGTTGAAATTGGATGCGACAAACTGCATCATTATCAGATGAAATTTCTTAGCCCGTTGACGCTACAATCCAATTCAAGCTTCCAACAGCCGCTCGGATTTGATTGGACAAACCCACGGAAACGACCGATCGTAACATTCAGACCTTGTATTCTCACGCGCTGGCATCGTTCCATCCATCTACGTAGGAAATTCTGAGTCGAAAATTCTCCTCAGATGAAACTACGAGTAGAAAGTAGAACCTTCTCATTCACATGCCCACCAATGAGCAACATACGCTTATCACTTCATGTGTAAAAGCGACACAATTTTTATCCTCAGAGTAATATAAATTATTTTACTGTTACGGCCCAGAGACACGGATATCGTCAAAAGCATTTGCAGTGATTTTCGTATTTCGTGTCCCCTACCTGTCCCCTGCCTGTCCCACGCAGGCATCACACAGAGCGCTGCCTCAGCGCCCGAACAGGAAGCCACGAGCGATTGCGCTGCTAGGATTGTTATTTGCCGCGCATTGCCATCAATGCATGAACTATAATTCGGCTTTTATAACGTGGCGCGTGAAGGCCTGTCATCACGATGGAATATCTCACGGCATTTCGCGTCTATCTCGGCCGTGCCGCTAGATGTCGCATGATCGCGACCTTATCAAGCAGTGCTGCGATCACGCGACATCTAGCGGCACGACCGAGAAAGACGCGAAACGCCGTAAGATATTCCATCGTTAAAACAGGCCCTGACGGGCCACGTTATAAAAACCGAAGTATACTAGACATACAATGAGCGCGAGGCAGGCTCCACAAGCGAGACTCACCCGCGGGTGCCTTCCTTAACGAAGCGATTCTCCGCAAAACATGAGAAATATTTCATCATTCCATTGTGCGCTTTGGCTCTATTGTTTTTTGTTTTTTTCTATTTAAAATAACACAACTGAGAGAATTCACTTGGTGCCTTATTTTAATTGGCGTGGCTCGGACAATTAGGCCCGCTCTTCGTCTGACCGCGCTAATTTCGCTGGTCTCCTTTCACCATCCAACGGAGAACGAAGATATCATCTCGGGTGACGAAACACGCGATTTGAATTTAGCTCAGAGGCTTCTTTTAGACATGATAGTATTTTGCATGCAAATCTACTACATGAACCAACCGGCTTTACTGCCCTTCCGAAGAAAGATGTACGAAAGATGTTTTACCGTTAAAAACGCTCACGACACTAATTTCGAACGCATCAACTACTTCCGTCTTTTGTCCCGTAAGTGAAGTGCATGTTGCATCCCTGCCCGCAGCCATGCCCGCGACCCAGCCCGCGCCGCCCCTACGCCTGCGCCACCTGCTGCCGCTGCCGCTGCCCGTGTGTCTGCTGCTGGGCGTGGCGCTGCTGTGCCCGCTGGGCTCCGGCGCCTTCGCGGCCGACGGCCCGCAGCAGATGTACCCGGGCGTCTCCGCCGACGAGTACGAGGCCATGGTACGCATTGGTTTGTTGCCGCTGTGTTGTTCGCGTTCCAAATACATAAATAAAAGATACTGTCGTTGCCAACATTTTTTTTTATTTTCATATTAGCAGAAGTCGAATGTCTTGCCTCCGAACACCGGATATCAGATGACATATTAAATACATTTAATAAAATAAACAAAAATGTCGGCAACGACAATGTCTGTTATTCACTATGATACCGGTGCTCTTGCACAGCTCTCACTCAACGCAAAATTTCTAATCTAGCGCGCCATCTTAAAACATTAAAAGAGAACATGGCATTTTGAAACTAGTGGTAATACAACAGCACATGATATCATGCATTATTATCTCGATGAACCTGCAAAAATGTTTCCAAACAGAAATTATTTTTCCGCGCCGCGACTCGAACTCAGGTCTCAGTTGTCACAGGGGGCATTACCGCTACACCACGCACTGGATCAGCCATTCTCACTTGGCCCGACGCTTAAAAATCTAATTGTCACCCCGTTGTTTCCAACACGTAATTTTCGAAAATTCACAGTTCCACAAAAATAATAATTACGCTGTTCTTTTAAGCGTTCCTTGTTTTACAAGTGGAAAAACATAATGAAAAAAATAGAATATGTTTCATTTTCTTCAAAAGCCTGTACATGACCTTATTTTAAAGAATTTATAATCTTATTTAAAGATCTATCTTGAAAGTATGTTTAATATTGAATTAGTTTCAGGAAGACCCCAAAAAAAGTTGAAATTTTGCAATTACCGAAATATCAGGGATTTCAACGGAACTGAAACCTGCACCTTCCTTCTAAGCGTCCTTCACAATGCAGTTCATTCAATCTCAAGGCGGTTTCACACATTCAGTGTCTGGCGAGTAGCGAGCGCCCGTTTGCCTGATCCCGAGTAGTGCGGATATGTTGCTTGCTTTTTGCCAAGGAACAAACATTCAGTTACCGCCCTACCCACCGCGTGGACGTCTTTTGGACACATCCAAAGAAGCGAACATCCGCCGAGCTCATCACCTGCACGGGATTGGGCGAGCAGTATTTGGCAAATGTCGAATGTGTGGAGACACTGACTCACCTGCGTTATGCAACCCGCATTGTCAAGCGGTGTCAAAGAAAATCGGATGCCTAACTAGCGCCTGCGATTAACGCTCGAGAGGAAATAAAAGGACTCGACCACAACTTGGGACAAAATTAATTTGATAAATCAAAATATTGCACTCACACATATAAATAGAATGTGCCGTATATATTATTACATGGTACATGTAAGATATTATCGGATTCTGCTAGATTTACGTGACTCGTTTCCATTGTCACAGCGTTTCTTTAACTTTATTGCCCTCAGGTCGTCGTCTTCAATCATATCAGTTTCGCGGCATGTTTAAAAAAAAGGGCCCCAAATGTAGAAGGAAGAAACGAATACGTCAAATGACTATGTTCATAAGCAAAACTTTCCAGAACATTTTGCACAATATTTTTCACAGAGTATGCCTTGTAAATATTTAAATACCACACAAAACACCTCACTTTTTCCTCGGCTATTGCGTGTACGTAACAGCTCGCCAGTTCACATTAAATGTCATATCTCGGAAACGTCCAAATTCTTCATCCTGTAGGTCGATAAAAAGGCAGAACTCTCAGATATAGTAACTCTGACACCCAAACCCGTCACGAGTAAGTGTTTTGAAATGTTTGTAAAGATGATTGAAACTTTTTTGACCCAAGCCGTTGGTTATTATTTCATATCTCCGATCAACGCAATATAGTAACAGGAACTGTATTGAACTTTCAGCAGCGCGAGGCAAAATAAACCTCTTAGGTCCCACCCCTTAACGCAGTAATAACGATCCCATTAGCTATAAGCCCATTTCGATATGGATTTTCTGCTCTTTCCCAGGGATCCGCAGAGCAACTGCTGAGGTGATACACTTTTTCGTTGAGGGAAATCAAATGTACTTCCCACCTCCCACACTGATGCCATATTTGCAGCAAATACATAAAGAAAAACCTAGAAGAAAGAATAACTCATTCGCGGAAATAAAGAATGTGCTAAGCTAGTTTATTACAGCAAAGTGGCTTTGCATCGATATTACTTCTTCAGTATTCCCACTCCTCGTTGAAAAATGATAAGTTGCATTTGGACGTTGTATATTTGTTCAAATATTCTTCCCAAAGTCGTACCTTAGTAGGTGGCCAGATTGCACTGCGGCAAAAGGTGCCACACAGTATCTAGTACTGCAAACTAGGAGTAACGGATCAAAGGCCAGGAAGATCTTGATATCTCTCCAGAATCCTCTCTTCTCCTTTAGGTTGGTAGCCAAAATCGGCCTACATCAACCAGACACTCTCCATAGGCATACTCCAACGACACGCAGGTTGTAAAACCGTCCAACCCACGGAGTAAACAATGAAGCACGTTCGCGAACTCAGCAAGCCTGGCATGCCTATTAATGGGCCGACGGGCCGCTTAGTCCATATTGACGATTGTTTTTGTTTTGTAATTGAATGTGTGCTCTTGGAGGCCAATTAACGGCGAGCGCGCATGCGCCTGTGCAGAGGAACAGCCTGCGCGAGCTGGAGGCGGACGCCCTGCGCCGAGCGCTGCTGCGCGACCTGCAGGAGCAGGCCATGGAGGAGGCGGCGGCGGTGGCGGCGGCAGTTCGCGGCGGCGGCAGCAGCAGCCGAGAGGAGCCGTTGCCGCTGCCCGCCGGCGCCGGCCCCGGCCCGGGCCCCATGCCCGCAGAGCGCCTGCCCCTGCCCCTGCCCCTCGTGCGCGCGGCCTACGGCGGCGCCGGCCCCGACCTCAGCAAAGAGGAGCCGCCCGTCAAGAAGATGAAGAGCTGTAAGTGCGCGCGCACACGCACACACTCACACTCGCACACAGAGAGAGACGATAAACAAGATAGGGAAAAGGAAAAGAACAATAAACTATAAAGAGGGAAGGATAGGAAGCTGTAAGACAGAATTAAAGATTTTAAGGGTGAATAAGCGATCCAGGTTAAAGGCAAATCTCGTTCTCTCAAGAAAATGCGGATAATAGGAAAGCATCTCAAGCCACAGTTTCAACTTAGCGCTTAATTTTAAAACTGTTCATCGACGTGAGAATGCCAGCGATCGCCACGAGATGGCATTGCGGCAATAGACCCGACCCACCATACGGTGGTCGTAATCATGTGAATAACTGAAAAGGACATGACCACGTTCCAACCTGTTAATATCTTCAGTAGAACAAACATATGAAAACAGAACATAACGGTAGAGAAAAAACTAAATGGCACGTGCATTCTCGTATTGTTAGTTTCCTATTCTCTTGAATCGGGGCAAGCACCATCCGCTTCTCAGCTGCCATCTAAAGGCGCCTAAAACACCTACCACGTGCTCTGACTGTCCCTATCGCTCTTCTGACGACTTTCCTAGTGAATATTACCTTCGAATTTCGCCAAGGTCTATCTCGACAATGTCTAAACATCCAAATCTCCATTTAGCGTTTGAAGATATCAGTTTTCTGTTCGATGTACATAATTTAATGATAAAATATTTTAATGTTTTGTATGTTTCATTATATAATTTTATTGGGCTAAGGTGAAAGGGAACAATCCTTTTTGGCAACTTTTTAGGAGGAAGGAAACATTAAATAATACACACATATGTTACATAATCCTAACCAATTTTTCTGTGTAAATTTACTATGAAAGCCTAAACACAGTTATTACGTAATTCCTTTCTTCACAGTACAATTTGCCTTGCCTTAAGAAACAACTTTCCAAAATAAAAATTAAAAACTGCAGTTTTGACATGTTCTCCCTCTTCTCATGCCGATTCAATTAGATTTAACAATCTTCAATCTTATGAATCATGTTCTAAGGATTCACGTCATGGCAGAAAGGCAGAAACAAAAGTAGTATTTCAATGTGAGTGCCTTCAAACACCCCAAAAAGTTTTTCTCTACATTCTTTTCAGAATGTTATCACAGGATCTAACTCAAAACAAAGCCAATCCATTTTCCTCATTGAGAGGAATCAAAAGAGCAATTGATCCCAGCTGTAGTAGCCTTCCAATTCCCCCAAAAATGTGTTTTAGTCACTACCCTTCTTCCAACACTTTGTTTGATAATTCTCTTAGAATGTTCTCACAGAATAAAAAAAATTGATAATAATCCACCACGACGACAGAGCAAGATTCCTTGATCACTCTACAAGGATGATTTGGCATCTGATGTTCAAAAACACATATTTCTAGTGAAACGAATTTAAAGACTCAATATGGAGTGAATTATGTGGAATTGTTTGACAAAAATGGGCACCCATACATACCAATGATATTTTCTTCATATGATAATGAAATTCCACTATACAAAGTAAATGTGGGTTCTAGAAGCATTGTAAATGCATCTAACTCAAATAATGATGTATGAGATTATCTCAAAATCATACAATAAGCCAAGACAAATTGAAAAGTATTGCCAAAGAAATAAAAGTAATTCAGACAGTAAAATGCTTTGTCTTTTTTAGAGAGACCCACAAGCAGTTTACCACAAAAGGAATGTTTGAATAATTCCTATCCCATAGTAAATGATGTATGGATTATGAGAAATATGATGAAAACACTGATCATTATGAACACAATACTTTCCTTCTTATTGTTGTACTATAAAAAGGTAATCCAGTATTTCTAAGCTTTGCTTATTCAAATGATGGACATACAGTGTAAACAATACTTAAATAAAGTTGAAGGCAAGTTTAAATTTTGATTTGCATGAGATTTTTACAAATATATCTCTTTGGTTACTTCAAAAATAAATTTCCTTCCACTGAAAGAAGTATTGAGCATGTTACCTTCCAAAACTCTCAATTTCCTTTTTCTTTATTATGCACGTGTGCCCAAAATTATAATTGAATTACTGGGTGATAAAATTAACTAATTTTTGAAAAAGTACACCTGATCTATAAACCCTTCACAAATTGTGACCAGCACAAAGAGTAGTATAAAAATTAGGATCAATATTTTGACGAAAAAATTATGTTTACAACAGAATTACACACAAAACACTTCACATGGTGTTCTGTAATTCCTTCAAATTTAATAATTCTTCTGAAACAATGGTTGAATAATTAAATTGGTAAAATTTATCAGCATTGCTGAAACATATAGCAATGTAAGATTTTTGAATGACAATATTTTTTATTTTCAATGAATTTATATCTAACAGAATTTTTTTTTTCCTTTTGCAGATAGTATGTCACTCTGCTTATTCAAGATTTGTAATATGGGACGAAAACGCACCAACAGATCCTGAACATCACCCAATGGCTGAACTAATCATCAACACTTTGAATACAACAAATGACTCTTCTCTTTATCTTCAGTAAAGGCAGCTAGAGCACTACACCACATCTACTTTCTTGCGATGATAAATTTCCCTGTTATGTAAATCAAATGATCTTTTAAATGATTTCTACTTGTAGTATAAATTGAGATTTATCTGCAACAATGACCCTCAATAAGTTTCACACAAATGCATAACACAACAATTGTAGTGCACATAAAATTCAGTTAGTTTGTAGATAATCATTTCCATTTCTCCTATTCGCATAGAGATCTGCTTTCAATAAATAGAGCAAGGAATTAACTCTGGTTTCTTTTCACCTCTGATAGTTGCAAGTATATTTATAGGAACAGGTAACATGTGATTAAGGTTTATGATGACAACACTTTTACAACAGAGGTTACAAGTAAAATAGAAAATTCTAAATTTACCATTTGAAAAGTCTGTAATTCATGCCAAATCCTTTTAAAGCAATAATTTGTAAGTCATTTCTTATGTTCCAAGTGTTGACTTGTGTAAAATAATTTATATTCAGTATGACTGATATACATACTTACATAAAAACATCACATTTTCAAATCACTTAATTTATAAGCCTCTTCCAAGTAAATAATTTTGTAAATATTTTTTTGTGTTAAATACATATCTCAAGATATAAAGCCCCATGTGGAAATTGCATTTACTTGGTCAAAACTAACCTTCAGAATTGAGTTCATCAAATTCCTTCAAATATGATATTCCAAAAAAGCAACAAAATGTTTCCATAAATGTCTTAAATGCATCAATATTTCAATTTGTTCTGACAATCCCCTAAAATACAAATTTGCATGACAAATAGTCTAATGCACCCACCTAACTGGCTATATTTCAGATTCTGTAAAATATAAGCTGCTGGTTCATCGAACTCCACCGTATTACAATATTTTACAACTTTGAAAATACACTTAGTTGTGTTATTACACAATAAAGAGATAAAAACGGCATCATTTAAAGAACTGCCTACAACAGTAATTGAAACTATCAGATCTTTCCTTCAAAAAGCTTCTGCAAATGTGTAGAAAAAATAATGTATAGGTTTTTTGTTCCTTATAACTCAAACAAAATAATCTAAGATGGTTAAGATACTTTCCTAACAGTCTTTTAAAACCTGTTTACAATTGAAGCACAGTGATATTCAATATAAAATTGAATTCTCAAAAAAAGCCACTTCACTGTGTTAATCACAAAAGATTGATTGATGAAAAAAAATTAAAAGAGTAATTTAAAAATGAAACTTCACTTCATTACCATAAACAGATATTCTATAGGAATGAAAATCCATAATTTACTTAATACACTTCAGAATCAGAAGCTTATAAATGAAGACGTGAGGTCCTACCACTAGAAATTTCAATATTTACATATAATGAATTTAAATGTAAATGTTCATTCTAAGCAAAAAAGAAAACTGAAAAATTCTCTTTGCTTACCGATGTGAAAATGTAAACATGTTTCAACAATTTAGAATAACAAAACAACAGAGATTAATAACAAAAAAACTGACATAATTCACAAACAAATTTGAAGCCTGGTATTTGAGATGGTATACTAAAAGTGGTGGGAAAACACATTTCATCACCATACAAAAAATACTTATTTTTACAAATTTTACTTGATATGTTCAACAATACAATATTATCACATATATGAAAGTTTATAAGTACAGAAATATGGTTTCTCCATGGTTGATTTTTCAGTTCATTACTGGACAATGAAATCAGTCTTATATAAACCCTATCTTCTTGGAAGATTAACAAATCATGAATTATATTAATTTTGAAAGAATTATTGAACATACAAAAAATGATATGGTGATTTTCTCATAAACCACAGAACCATGAATAATTGGAAATACAAAATCAACTTAGTAATGCATTTATTTATTCATAATTTGTGCAGTCCTTGACTCAAAGCAATTTGAGAGGCAAAAGAAACAGAGGAAACCATAAACTTCTGATCAACCCAACGCAATCTCATAATTGGCACTTTTAGATCACATCAAATATTTATGGACATAAGCCTGCTATTCTGCCAACATAAGTACATCTTTCATGGCCAAATTCAGTGCAAGGTATTAAATGCAATACACAACAAAAGTTAAACAACTGGAAACAATAGATTGATTGTGCCCATGACAATACGTCAATAAGCTATCTTAGTAGATTCCAATCAAACACAATTTAATAATACGTTGAAATGCTAGAATTATAACTACATTCAAATTTAATTAGAAAGGACAGTCTCCTATAAAACTTATAAAATTACACTCACAGACTTCCAAACTGATAAATCATAACATCAACTTAAGAAAATCTAAAATAACATAAAACAAAATACAGTAGGGTTATCTCAGTAGTATTTAGTCACATATTTAAAAAACAACTTTCAAGAGAATAAGGTAAATATCAAAGAGGTAATGACAAGATCAATATGCAATATCATCAATAAGCAATATCATCAATGACAATATCAAAGATGCAACGAATGATGTCTTTTGGGGTCAACACATTTTTTAATGATAAGTGAGATTTCTGTCATTTCAAAACTTTCTAAAATTCCAATTAACAAACTACCTCATGTCATTTGTCAATGCCAATTTCTATCATACAGTTCAAGAGTGTTGAGAATACCCTCCTCTAATCAAACTATTTATTTATTAAATTCAAAATAAGTGAATAAACAAAAAATGAGGTACCTATTCTTGGCGTACAGAACTAACTCCGACTCAACACGAGCACCATAGAGCGTGAAATAATTGAAAAATAAATAATAATTTCATATTAATAAATATGAAATGTAAAAATGTGAAATGTCTCACAAACCTATTAACCAGTATTTTACTAATTCAAATGATCATGTGTTACGAAGACATACCATTACCATACAATTACATGAACTTTTGAGAAAATTATATTAAATACCACACACCATTTATTCCACAATTTCATTATGAGCATGGACAAACTACATATTACCACTAACTAAAAGTCCTCCTCAATAAAAATATTTATCCTTACCGTTAACTATTTATGAAGAATGCCAGGAAGGGTAAATGAGAACTGAAAGAAAAAAAGAATTCTTAATTTAGTCATTCAGGGAATTCAAAACATTAAATATGATGCAATCTCACCTCTATTCAATATGACTAAGAAATAAATTCTTATGGTGAAATAATTCTAGTCACCTGGACAAAGTATAAGATCAGACAAAATGAGTTCTGAAATGGTAATAATCCCACTGTTTTTCTCATACGGAGAGAGAGCTAGCTTGCCTACCTACAATAGTTCCTGAGTTAATACTGTTGCCAATTTATGACATGTCCAAATTGCAATTTTTGTCATGTGCCAAAAGCTCATATGTTAAGTACCGTAAAATCAAAATGCAGACTCCCTAATCAAACACTTGTGCCGCATTGTATCGAAAAATAGTGGTGGCTGTGTTGTGGATGGAAATAAATCAAAAACAATCACCAATTTCAGATTGTTAGTATAAAATTCATATTTTTTAGGCACAACCATCTCGAATGTGTTAGTACCATTCTGGAAATGAAAACACTTCGAAAACAGATGTTGAAATTAGAATACTACTAAATTTGTTAGAGCACTGAGGGGTAAAAAATTCCCTTAATGGTCCATAAAATGACAAACTAAATTGCTCTCCCTCATGCCACTGGTGGTCTAGAACATTTGGTTTAAGTGCCCTACAGACTCAAAAGAAAGTGAGTTTGTCACAAATATCCTAGCTTTGGTATACTTCCACATTAACGATCATTAAGTTTTAAATCAGTGGTTCCTAAAGGGGGTCTGTACAGACCTCCTGGGGACAGACAAAATTTTAAAGGGGGCCAGCGATGATCAAAGGGTCTACTGGGGGATCGATAACTGAATATTCACTGTGAACTGATCAGTATAATCACGATCCTATTGTTTACAAAAAATGTAGAAGTTATTAAGGGTTTTATTATATGAAACTTCAAAATGTCTTATAATAAGACATACATCTAATAAACAATTATTTTCAACATTTTTGTTCATATTCTTTCTGGAATTATTAATAAATAATTTTTCTACAATTATTTGTATGCTGTGGTGGGGGTCGATGAAACAAATCTTTCTTTCAAAAGTGGTCAATGCATCAAAAAGATTGAGAATCCTTGATTTAAATGCATATATTTATCCAAAATACCTTCATCTAAGGATTACAAGATCACCCTCTCTCTGAAAATTGTGTTGTGCCAGATTCCAGTGGACTTGTACCTATCAATCGTGCAAAGAATTATAAACCTCCTACGTCTTCATGACCCAGACTAACATACATATTACATAAATTAACTGAACATTGGAAGCACTTGACAGTTTTACATAAAACCAGATAATAGACGTTTACCAAATGGATTATTGTATTCCACTGTTAAGATATTACTAATATATTATGCAATAAAAATAGAACTTCAACCAAACCCCCTATACTTGAAGACTCACATTTTAAATTATATTCTTAACAATTTTATTACTGGGCATATCCAAATAGAATGAAACTTTAATTAAAGAAGGTATTTGACCATTGTAGAAATCACAACCATTGATGAATAATTAAATTAGTTCACTGGATTGTTTAGTATGGGTAAAGAAGCAATTAGTTATGCCAAATATGAGTAAAGAAACAGTTATGCCATTTGCATTGTCATAACTAATTGATTCTTTACCTATTCTGACCAATCTCGTGAACTAATTTTATTAGAAGATATTTGGATGGTTGTAATTGAAAAGTAACTAAGCAATAGAATACCTTTTCTGAAAAAAGCCTTACTGAAACATAATCATTTGGGTCTCTGAATTTGTTCTGCACTTAAAATACTTGGAAATGCTTTAAAAATGTACTGTCTACATTCGTAAGATGGCAGAACAATTTAGAAAGTTCAATTTCAATTAATTACAGTGGAACGTAGTTTACTTTGACAGAAACTAAATAGGTTTTGAGTGGAGTAACAATGAGTCAAATTAATGTAGTTCAAAAATGCCAACTATGAAAGTTTACATTGGCTTATAAATTTGAGCTAAACCTAATTCCTATGTCCTAAACCAGTGCTGGATTTCCCACACAGCAAAAGAAGCAATTACTTGATGTCTTAAATGTCCGACTTCAGTAAGGACAGGTTTGTTTTTTTTTTACTTCCTTTTACTTAAAAAAAGTATGTATAATATATGAAGAAAGCCATTGTATTTTAATCCCCTTTACTTGTCCTTGTATACTATTGAAAATATTCAAGCCTCAGGAGGTATAATTCCCCAAGTAAATCAGACACTGACCCAAACTTGTCACCTTGATCTGAGCCATTTCTTTTGTATTGCCACAAAATATAGAGAGATTACAATAAGAAGGGACCGCTTTGACAGCTACTCCTTGGCCAATGCTGGCTATATAATTGCAGGTTATATTCAATATCTCATTTTCTCAGTGTGTTTGTTTACAGTTAGCTCATTTGAATATGGCTTCATCATTATCTCTTGCAATGTCATCGACCTGCATAGCATTGATTTGTTTCCCAACCTGTCAAAGCGGTCCCTTCTTAAGAGTAACTCCTCTATAGCTCAAATTGATGCAACCAAGAGATCTTACTTTCTTTTAAACCCAAATGCTAATACACACAGCTTCATTATTGATCAAATCAATTTGAATGCAAAATTTAAATAATACTTTTAATAAGTCAACAAATTGTGATATAACAACACATTTAGTACTGTAATGTAATTATAGGAAGAAGAAATATAATAGGATTATCTACTGGCAGAAGGGCACTAAAATTGTTTGATCAATCTGGATTATTTGTCCACTGCTTCAAGCCCTATGTGTCCAAATGCTACTAAATCATCTTTCCTCTTTATACAAAAACACTTACAAATATTTATTACCAATTGCCTTATGAAGACAAACATTTTAATGATCAGACATCTCTAAACTTTATTATCTAGCAGGAAATCTTAGATCACAAATAGTATGAAATGTGTTTGAAACAGCTTTTAATAAAAAAAATAAATTATTATTCTATTCTCTAAAATGTTGACGTCAGAATGCATAATTCAATAAATTGTGTACTAAGTAAGTTATACTTGGCTTGAAATAAAATTTAAATCACAATGGATGAAAGTAATTATTGAAATAAAATGAAAGACAAACAATATGGAACATTTATATATTTCAAAATTGTATGCAATACAGTAAAATCAAGACAGGCAACCATGCTTTTAGCAAATTTATTGATGAGCGTATATAAAATTGAACACATACCTAAAAATCATTTCAAATATTGCTACTTTCAACACAGAAATACTTAAATCAGTCATACCCACACAATATATACATACATTTGATCATCATGAAATTCAACAACACAATAACACAGAAAAAATAAACAAATTACGATGGATTTCAACCAACAACAAATATATTCCATTCAAATAATTCCAGACAATTTAAAATTATAACTTTTATTAAATCACCCAATCCAATTACTGTGCCCTTTTTACATAGTTTTTTCACTAGAATGGTAACATTAATTTATTGACTTCTTCCAATGCACCATTATAGAAGAGTGGATACATTTTAAAATAGAAAATACATAAGATACCAGTCAAGAAGATTTCATGCAACTAAGTACTCGTAAATCACTAAAACATTCAGATATTACAATTTACTGTAATGCCACATTCACTAACACTTTCCATTTACCATCAAATGAATACATTCCTTTTAAAGTTCCTTTTAACCATTTTAAGTTCTCATTAAAAATTACAATGGAAAATGGCTACAAGAAAAGAAATTTAATTGCTAATAGCTCATGAATCTTAAGAAATATCAACAAATTAGTTTTAAAAAGGATATTTGAAAAAGTTGATTAATGATGATAAAACATTAGAACATATAATTTATAAATATTAAGATGACTCGCACATTACAGGTCAAATTATAAAATTTAAATATACGTACGCATACGAGAAAGTAAAAACCAGTTTAATTATACAACAACATTAATCAACAACATTCAAAACCAATATATACACACTTTATATAAATGAATAATATAGCATGAGCTAATTTCCCGATTTCATCTCTACCTACCTTCTCAAAAATCTTATTTAAATCGTTTCTCAACAACAAAACACTAGCAATTTTGCTTCGATGAACCTAAACTATACAAAGTTACTAGTTCTCTGAACAGAGTACAATACTTACTTAATAATATGAGAGGTTATGTTGTATTATCCGGTGTCGATAAATTTACTTCTAGAATAAAGTTCCTACGTAAAACTACGTGAAACAGTTTATTCGCAGTAAATCTCACCGTTCATACTATAAAGATACACTGGGCTAACAAGAATGAACAGGTATGAAGGTATAATTTCACTGCAAATCGCGGGTTACGTTCCCTTAGCCCCTCACGTGTGCTCCAACTTCCACTCAGCTTTCACACTGGGAAATGGCGCCATTTTCAGAAGACTTGTCACAGTCAACGCACTCTTGTGTAATTATAAACAATTATATTGGAGAAGTTATGATTCGTAATGTAAACTTATCTAAATGTAAATACTTCAGGAACTTGTCTAAACTTTCGGTCGCAATTTGTGACTCACAAATGAATTCTGATTTCTGATCGATTCTGATAACGGTATAAATTCTAGAATTAAGAATTAGAAGTCAAAGCAGCTATCCTTTATTAGAGTGCAAAATTTCCCAAAACTTTGTACATCAAATATACAATGTTTCCTACACGTCTATCGGTTAAACCACATAAATCAAGTCTTAAAAAATTGCCTGCCCGCGGGCTTTAAAAAATATATCACTCGCAACACTTCCTTATGTCCGTCATGTCCAGCATGACGCTAATGGATTTGGGGATAATATGAAATAACAGTTATAAATTGGTTACTGAAAGTAACTTTTATACATTTTCAATTCCCTAATACTGTCATGCTGGCAGATATATAGGCCTACTCTAATATAAGAAGTTGTGTAAAGTTCTCCGTGGATGTAATAGTTACTGTACTGAAGAGAACATTTGAAATATATTTTGCCGAGTTTTAAATAAGGTTACGTCAAGTAGTTTCCTTCGGCTGTAGATTTTATAATTCTAAAACGTATTTAATTGTTTATGTACATTTTACAATTGATTTAAATCATTCATATTACTGATAAAATATTTTTAAAACAATAACAGTATTATGAAACTACACTAATTAAATGAATTCCCAAAAGCTCCAAACCTTTTAATCTTTTGACTTTGGAGCTCATTGAAAAATGTCTATTTGACAAATCATGTCTTACAATTTCATTTTCTTATAAGTCATTCCTGAACACTTCCATGAAATTGTTAGCCTATATCATTAGAAGCAAAATAAATAAAAGTAATTAGAATCAAAGATTTAACAAACAGAGAGTTATGGAATTTTTGATTGACAACTTTTTCAAATACCACTATTTTAAAAATTTTCAACCACTTGTTTTAACTTGCACAAAGTAATAATTCATTATTAAAACTACAGTTAATGATAGTAAAGATCGAGGAAAGAGCCTTCTTGATGTTCCTCTTGGTTCTCCTTATCCAGTTAGCTTTTTAATTTTGATTTTTTTAAATTTTGCTACTTTTAAATATTTTGGAGAAACTAGGAAATATTTTACTGCATTTTACTTGAAACAAAAAGTTATTTTTTAAACAACATTACCAATTTACGCCATTTGAAAAGAGTATAACAAAACAGCATGTACATATTCAAGATACTGATACAGAACATGAAATATTTGAGTCAAATTACTAAATAAGTACATACAACATACCACTCTTAATGATCTATCAGGCAAGCATTTCTGTTTTGTTCAATGCCTAAAAATTAATTATAATTCACGGAAGAGGCAGAAAGACAATATGACTCTCAATTAACTTTCTTTATTGACCTGTTAAAATTGTATAATTTTCTCCCCTTTGAAGAGACCTCATATACATTACCTATGTAGAATGTGAACCCATCAGGTCCGGAAGCTACCCAATCTATTTAGGTCCAGCTCATTTTCGGACAAATATCTCGTGCCATGAAGTCGAGAAAGGATTTCCTTATCGAATGAACGAGTTGTCCTATCACAAGTATCACATTGAAAGGAATATTTCGAATTATTCACTGCGGACAAGTCATATTTTTTAGAACTGAGAGGGCTTTTCCAGCAAATTTCGGGGGACTTTCACACGATGCTTCTGTCTTTATATGATGCTGACTTAACCATGTCCACAGTGGTTTCAAAGAACATTCGCAATCGAAAGGATTTCCTGAAATCTTGAAGTAACGCAAATATGTAAGCTTTTTTAGGCTATTTCCATTCAAATGCCTCAAAGAATTATTGTTGAGATTTACATAGCGCAATTTTGGCAAATCTGTGAATGCAAATTCGGATAATATTCTTAGGTAACAGTGGTCTAAATCAAGATATTCGAGAGATGGCACTGACAGAAAAGGGCCATCTGAAGGTAAAATGAGAGCGTTACCTGTCAGATCTAAGTGATGAATTACAGGATTATTAGAAAATAAATCTTTTGGCAACGATGTCAAACGATTTCCGGCCAAGTGTAAAAACTTCAAAGCTTCTAATCCTCGAAAAGCGTTTGGGGAAACGCTAGAGATCGTGTTATTGTCTGCTACGATAACAATAAGATTCACAAGACCTAAGTTCAAAAACGTGTCCTCTTCAATAGTCGTGATGTTGTTATGGCCAACGTCCAAAAACGTCGTCACGTTGTCCAAACCGGCGGGGAATGTGGTGAGGCGTGTGCGAGAACAGAAAACTTCAGGATACTGACATTCGCATCTCGTAGGGCAGGCCGACGTTTGCTGCAGAATTACGAGACTAGCAGATGCCCACAGAAATACTGAAATCTAAAAACACACCGAATTACATGTTTACTCTGTACATAGAGAGTCGTTTTACTAAAACCTTTGGACGTTTAAGCATTGTCAGATTTCATCTCTAATATCATGAGCGCCCATGAAATGAGACACTGATATTTTTGGCGATTTTCATACGCATAATGCACAACTTGAACGCAATGCATTTAACTTTAAATAAGTATGAAAGCATTTTCATTAGTCACAAACTCCTTCGCGCGATCCATGAATATTCATCCAAAACTTAACTGACTTCACTATTTTCATTGTATTTTCATCTTTTTATTAGTTGCTTCATAGATTCCGAAACGTTTTAAACATTTATTTTTGTATTTTCTCGAGCCATTCAAATTTACGAATCTTTCAGGAAAACATATTGAATAATTGAAGGCATCTTCACAGCTCGTGATAGGAAATAATAATGAATTGTTTAGTTAAATTGTGATGTAGTAGCTTGAACGAGTCCCTGAAGAATTTGAAAATGCTTATACTCGAGCGGATTTTAGTATACACATATTTCCTCGAGATTTTCTTAGCGTCACAAACAATCGTTTTTTAAGTAAATAAAAAATAAATAAAATAGCCTCACATTGAGACGACTATTTGCAACACTTTCAAAACATTAGGAATTTTTATAGGAATATGTTATATGTCAATAAAATCGATTAAATGATGGACATTATACATAATTAAATTTAATGTCATTAAAATAAAATAAAATAACCATTTGGTGACAAACGTGTGTGAAGTTTTTTCACACGTCAATACAATTAACACATTTTTATTTAGAGTGAATTTGTGCATAACACAATAGTATCATTTTTTTGGACTTTGAGTCGGTTTGGAAATACACTTGAGTTTTCTTTGTTGGAAGAGAATACACATATTTCGCAAAAAAATTTGGCTTTTTCTCCACTTCATTTTTAACTTTTTTGTTTGTCTTTTTAGGGCAAGTTTGGACATTTACTACATCCAGAAAATCAAATATATATATATATATATATATATATATATATATATATATATTACACGAATTCAATAATAGTTACATTCATAGAAGTTTAAACAAAACATATATATTTGCACAGCAGTTCTACTTCCGAGACTAATCTAAATGACATCTACGAAAGTTTGTTTCAAAGTTGAAATTTATAATATAATTTCCCTATTCGTTTTATAAATTAAATTAAATTATTTTGTGGTTTGGTTTTGGAATTAGCTCAATTTACATATGAGTTATACCGCTTTCAGTTTCGTTAAATCTGGTCAAATAACTTTATTTTGATTTCTGTAGTAGGAGTACATTACTTTTTTTCATACGCATCGGCTTACTATTTTGTATAGGATTAACAAAGATTTACCTTTCGAGATATCTTCAAAGCTGTAGAAGATACGTCAGTTCGAGACATCTTCAAGACAGGTCGCTCGTAAAACTTCGTTAACTTGAATTCTCAATGTCTCTTTAGCGGCACTGAAATCGCCTGAAAAGAGTATCGAACATACAGACTTGGCCTCAGTGCTTCATTTGAGCGCTCCCAGACTCCACACGCCGCGCCGTGCTACTTACCCTAAGCTGGCTGGCTGAGTGAGCTCGAGAACGCAAGGAAAGAGATTTGACCGGGTACGCGTCACGTGATCACATCATTCAATCTATTACTCTGATCCACCATTGTCCAATTCAGCAGTACTTAAACTGAGAGGGTGATCTCACGCGACATTGATATTGCAACAACCAATCCAGCAAAACGTGACTAATTGGCTGAATGCAGATAGTCTTTATTAAATTTCACTACTTTATTGTCCAGTCAATTAATTAATCGGACAACGTAATGATAATAAATTCAGTAATGAAGTAAATACATTTTCATAAAAGAGACATGATCTGGTTGTATGTTAAAACTGATTTTGGATGGTCTTAAATAAGTAAGCGTGAATCGAAGAGGAATGTCCTGCTAGTAGAATACCAGATTGATATGCGTCATACATCAGTTGACCTTCACTGAACAGAAGGTCTCTGATAATTTCACTTTTAGGGACATTTATTTCTTGTATTTCACTAATATTTAATTTATTTCATAGCCTATATTCTGCTCTTTCAAGCAAGAAAAAAGCCGTATCTCAGAAAACTAAAATATTTGACTATTATTCAAAACAATCACTATTAAATTGATTGCATCAGATCCAACGCATTATTTCCATTACGAATACACAATTTTTACGCCACGTTACCAATTTAAACAATATATACTTTAACAATATAGTGAATAGACTCCTATCTGAATCCTATCGGCCTTCCACGAAGAACAATCTGAAAATGAAGTGTTTTCTTCTTCAATATTTTATCAAAAATGAATTTATTAGTGTAGGAAATAATATTGTTACTCTCAATCCATTGCTGTACAGGAATTATATTTTTGGAGCTGACTTACACATTTTGGTGGCTTAGTAATGGTTGACCCTCTCGGGTGTCTCTTTGTTTAGCTTGCTTGCTTTCGATGGTGAAACTGGATTCGATTCCCGGCCGAGGCAAATTATAACAGTGCGCTTTCCTTTCAAATGCCTCAGTATCTGTTGCTGTGTGCCGATGAGAAAGCCCACCCTAAGGTTAAGAACACCAGTATATTTGGTGGAGGGATATCTTCGCGCTAACCACACGAACCCCTTGTCCCATGGCCGCGCGGCTGGGTCACCCCTGGTCGGCCAAGGCCCGTATCAGACCGTCGAGCCAAAAGCAGGAGAGGGCAGTAATGTCTGAGAGAAAAAAAGAATTGAATTAATACGTTAGTCTATTTTCGGAGACAATGTTTAGAGGTGGTTTTGGTAGGCAAATCGTACATTTCAAATCTTAGATTAACAAATCAATATACAAAATCGTTATGTAGTTTCTAAAATCCCTACAGAAGGAGCCGTTCACTATGAAATTGACCTGAAAAGTAAAATGTAACATTACTTAGGAAATCATAAAATCATGAGTAAAGACCGAATTCTCTCTCAAACGAGCAGTAAAAACACCAAAACCTACAAAAACAAGCAATAAAAATATCAACCTTTTGCAAAACGGTGTTATGTAGCCTAAAAACTTTAGTTAATACACTTTCAACTTATTTTATACTTTGAATGTGATATTTAAGGTGAATAAAATACTATGATTTAAGGGATTTTATTATAATTTAGTGTGTGCACATTGTTTAAACAACCCATATTTGACATTTTAAATAGTATTCGTCCAAAAAATTAAATTTGCGTAAAAATACCACCCTCCCCATATTCCCCCTCTATCCTTCACTAATAGATTTGTGGAACCACTTGTGGATGTTTTTCTAGCACGGAGAGAAATGTTAAGTTTGTACAATTAATCACGTACTAGATTGAACTGTACGGTATCGTATATTTTGGAAGAACCAAATACTTAATCACGTTCACGAAACTGCTGTTTAGTTAAACACAATGATGCACCTTTAATAATGTTCAATAAACTGGTCGTTCCACGTGACGAATGGCATCTAGTGGAGAATCGTTGCGTTGGCTAATACATCGAGTAATATTTACTAAACACATTGCAGTGAAAATAACTAAATAAATAGTTGATTTTCAGTTACTAAACACTGATGAATAAGCCTTATTCAGCAGAAACATCAAAGGGAATTCTTTCTTTCTATCCTTTCAGGTAGGTAGCAAATAGGATTCCAGCGCGGTCACTCATCCTACGGCCCTGTGAGCTCATACGTTCTTAAGGCCCATTGACAATGCAAAGATAAGCGTGGCGTTAACATAAAAGATAGGTCTACGTTCATAAGCGAACCCATTCACAATGCGTTCGCATAAGCATAACATGTAAGACGTTAACTTAAAAGCTTGCAAGCTTCAAGCTTCTGGGCTTATGCTTAAGTAAGGCATAAGAAATGAACCAATCACAGAACGGTAACTCAAAATAGAGAATCGAAATTGGACCGAAGTCGATAGAATAACTAACGCCATACGGGCCATGGACACAGTCGATACCTTGAAATCGATTCACTTATCCAACCAATAGTAGACTAGAATGTCTCACAGCCAATAGAAACTCTTATTTTGCTTACGTTTATGTAAGGTATTGTGAAAACTTCAGTGTATCACGTATGTTAATGTTTATGTCTATGCGCTATTCTTATGCTTACGTTTGCATTGTGAATGGGCCTCGGTTACCTGACACACTCTAGCCAAGCAGAACAGTTGCGGACGCTGGCTGACGGTTGGCTACCGACTGCATTTCTACCATTCGTTTAGAATATTATACACAATTATTTAAAATCAATAAAAACTAAACACGCCATTTATACAGCGTATAATTCTATATAGAGTGTTTAATTCTTCACACGGGCTCTATAACCTTTCGATTTGGTTACATGGCTGAGAAAGCGCGCTTACTAAGAAGTGTTTAGTAGGTATGATGACATGAAACGTAGATCTCACCGAATAATTTTATCCATGAAACAATTATAGTACCACTGACAATTCTCTTTGTTCATTCACTTACGATTTTCTATTGTCTTATTTACTAAACGAAACTAAATCATGTTTAGTGAATCTTACCACACGAATAATTATCTTTATTATATAATCGCTTACTACATTGTGCTACAATGTGTACTACTGCATTTCTCTCGTGTGGGAAACCCCTTGCAAACAGTGCCGGCGAAGGCCAGTGGGAGCCGGGCGGACATGAATAAGACGAAGAGCACCAACTGAATAAGCGGGGCCCCTTCGTAGGCGGAGTTCAATCAATAGCTGGCGGCCCGCTCTCTTCCCTTCCCGCTTAAGACAACGTTGTTTTGGAAATTTACGTATGGGGGCAATGAAGGTCAACATCCCTCTCTACCATTCTTATTAAATAAGATCAACACTGTTATTGCGTATCTCATATCATTTCTGAATACGATTACAAGAGTCAATACTCTCAATTATAGACTCTGAAATGATAATTTAATTAACGTAAGATATGTAGATATTTCACATTCCATATCGTATTGTCGAGCTAACATAAATAATTACTGCCCCTCATGTGTAGCATTTTTGAATAATAATAAATTTACAATTTATTACAAACTTTTTAGATCAGATTCAGAATTATATTGGATAATAATAACAATAATAATATAATATATAATAAAATAAGTAGAAACGTATCAGCAACAAAACATTCAAGAGATTGGTACGAAGACGTAGGCTTCGTACCCGATAGACTTCGTAGACTTACCCGATATAAAAGTGAAGTCGAAAAAATGAAGTAAAAGAAACAAAGTGGAAAAAATTATCAGACCCACAAAACTGGAACAGTTATCTCTCTCATTTCATTGAAAGAAATCCTTGATAACCACACCCAACAAATGGCAGTTTACGCCAAGAGACTTTGGCAATATAAAGTAAACATCATGTAAAATGCAAAGTAGGGAATCCCAGAACCAGAAGCAATTTTACAGAAAATTGAAAAGTGCGAACTACATAAGCACCATTAGTAATGAGTCACAACCTGATAAACAACTGATTACAGACTTCTGGTTTGCTATACTCGTATGGGCAACGACAACATAACATGATTCAACTAGTGTAACATTGATAGATGAAAAGCGACGAATGTAACAGATCCCATGACACCACTTTGCATTAAAAAGAAAGAAAAAGATATCAGAAAAACAATTGCAGTAGAACTGAGTAAGCGCTTCTACAAATAGAATTCACAATTAACATTCCGAAGAGAAGAAATCGGCTGCGGCGGCGATGGTGTTTGTAGGCGGCGATGATGTAATAGCGTACTGGACTGTTGTACCCAAGTTGGCGGGTTCATACCCCATCGAAACCGTGGATTTTTTAAGGGCGAAAAAATCCTTCGGAAGGGAAGTAACGCCAGTTGTCCCATGTTAGTGGATTTACTTGCATGTAAAAAATCCAGAAGCCTAAATGACGCCTCTGAGCTAAATTCAAATCGCCTGTTCGTCGCCCAAGAAATACCTCCTCTCTCCGTTAGTTGGTGAAAGAAGCGTAGCGAAATTTGCGTGGTCAGACGGAAGAGCGGGCCTGATGGCCCGAGTCTCGCCACGTAAAATGAGGCATCGTTTCAATGCAAGAAATAAAGCAATATTTGAAAGGGATGGGATATAGGATTTTGTTATTTTTTCATTTCATTCCCCTCCTCGTTGTTCTAATATCCAAATACGGAAGAGTTCAGAATACATTATATTTCTCTATCAAATTTAGAAATGATTTTCATGTTTGCGTCATACTTGTATTCGAATGCCTTTTAAAGCAAAGCTTGTTGAAGTTTTAGAACACCATTTATCGTTTTGAAGATGCTCGAGAATGAGATTCGCTTCAGTTACTTCATCATCACTTTCGAGGAGGTTTTCTTTGCTGTTGATTTCCCGAAGCTCCTATTCAGTGAGTTATTTATAATGATAGTTGCACAGATCTTGAACAGCTTTTCTGTTCATGTGGCCAAACCCTCTCCTCCGATTTGACGCAACTGAATTTAATAATTTTACAATTTCGTTACTCTATAAATTGTAAATTGACATTTCAACTTTGACATTTTTACTGATCGTGATGAGCTTTGGGGCCTGCCGAGTTCGGTTTCCAGATGACGCTGATAAAGGAAATGAAATGCTCTCGCTTTCATAAACATGTAATACGACCCAAAGACTCACTCTCGAATGTTAAAGTCGCGCATGTTAAAACCGGTAGCATTTCTCTAATAGCGAATGTTCGGAACTCGTGAATAGCGAATTCGCGATTGTTCAGGAATTACTGTACTTACAAAAATGCGTCTTACAGATGTTTCCAAAAACCCTGGCCACTAATCACGGCCACACTAAGAAAAATAATTCAGGAAGCAAAATTTACGAGTTGTCTAGCCTCTTAAGTTCTATAATTATATATTAATTGGGCAAAATCAAATAATTTAAAATACATAGAAACTTTTAGTAGATGGTTATATACAATGGTTTGGCTAAATACAATGTTATAAACTTGGTTATATAATTCAAGTCGAAAAAAGAAGATAACATATTGGATGTCAGATGCCGAAATCGTTAATCCTATGGACACACGAAAAATAATTGTGGTTTACTTAAACTCTGCTCCTCAAATCATTCAACAGCTTTGGGTACATCAACTGAAGAACTTTGTGTTAAATGTGAATCAGCAAATGCAGCTCATGCATCGTTTTTTTAATTGTCATACCTTCCAAAATATGTTAAAACAAAAAATAATATAATTTCCTCTTATTAATAACATCCGAAACACACTTTCTCAATCTCACACAAACCAATTACCAGAACACCGTAAATCATTCTCTGTCCACATCCCGTCCATTAACTTCTCCATTACTAGCTGCAAATCAACCGGGTTCAAGACCATTATATTCAGAGAAAGGTAAAAATAATTTACATAATCGTTCTCTTCGTTCACAAATCAAATACATTCATTACTAATAACAATAGTAAATCAAATACAAACATTTATAACTTCTTTATTGTCTAATCTCTTACCCACAATAAGCAACGGTTCATAATGGTTTTAAATCTAAAATCAAAACTGCTCTCGCGGAATGCAGCTAGAATAAAAAACAAAATAGCATTACTTTC